TCCTTCAAATTTAAGCAGTTACCCCTGAGATGCGTGTTGTGGCTAAGCTTCCGCAAATGACAACATACGTGTTTGGGGTCACTCAATATCTGATACGCTAATTTGAGATCGCCGCGCAGCCTTCAATAGCGTCCGCTGAAAATCCCCTGCAACTTCAACCATCCGTGGTAAGAGTGATAGCACAGGCCCTTTACATTCTTTGCTGCTCTTCGTTGTGCTGCCTCTAACGAGTCTAGGTCGCACTTCAACTAAGTTTGCCAAGTGTGGATAACGTATTCAACATGCGGGCGCACGCAGGAATTGTACATCATTGAGAAGATTGGTGGGTCAAATCTTCCGAATGCTCTTCGCAGCATGCCGACATGCTGGTTACTTCTTTTTGCTCTGTACGATCACACCAAGGTCACGTTCCTGGGAGCATATCTGCAATCCGTTTGTCACAAGCAAATAGGTGTGGTTATGTCCATGGCGTAATTGTACAACGCGAGATTTGTCTACGTTGAATGGTAGGGCCTTTTGAACTCACCAGTTCGACACTGTGTTAAGGTCGCACTAAAGACGTTCGTCGTCCTCCGGTCCTCTGATCCTCGGTCATATCTTGATTCATCCGGGAAAGATAGAAAATCGGAAGCAATTGATCACACCAAATGGTTATTGAACAACAATGTTATGCGAGGTCCAAGAACCGAGTTTTGTGGTACCCCACATCACATCGATTGCATCGGACAATGATTCTCGAACTCTCAACGCCAGCCGTCGTTCGTATAGAATATTGTTAATAATTAATAACCGCAGAGCAACATGGCTTTCGTCAAAAGCATTCGTGTAATACTAACCTATTAATTGCACTTAATAGTTGGACTGAAGTCGTTGATGATGGAGCAGGAGTCGATGTCATCTACCTGGCCTTTTCAAAAGCGTTTGCTCGCTTAGACCATCGAATTCTCCTTCAGAAGCTTCGGAAATACGGTGTTGGCGACCCAATCCTGAGTTGAATTAGCAATTTTCTACACGAAAGACGGCTAGTGGTGAGAGTCTGTGAATCATTGTCCGATGCGATCCATGTCATGTGTGGCGTATCACAAGGCTCGGTATTTGGACCTCCTCTATTCGTGGTGTTCATTAACGAGTTGGCGAGAGCAATTGCTTCCGATTTCCTATTTTCGCGTATGATATCAAAATATGACGAAGGATCAGAGGATCGGACAATCACGTACGGCTCCAGTGCGATCTTAACACAGTGTTGAAATGGTCAGTTCAAACAGCCCTACCATTCAACGTAGACAAATGTCACGTTGTACAATTACGCCATAGACATAACTACACATATTTGCTTGGGACAAACGGCTTGCGGACCTGCTCCCAGGAATGTAACCACGGTGTGATCGTACAGAGCGATCTCGACTGTTCAAAACAGGCTGAGTTAGCTGCGAAAAGAGGCAACTAGCATGTCGGCATGCTGCGAAGGGCATTCGGGAAATGTGACCCATCCATCTACCCAATGATGCACAATTCCCACATGCACCTGCATGTTGAATACGCAATCCAAGCTTGTCAACCTTGCTTGAAGTGGGACCCAGAGGCCTTAGAGGCACCACAACGAAGAGCAACAAAAAATGCAAAAAGCCTGCGCTATTACTCTTATCACCGAAGGCTGAAGTTGCTGGGAATTTTCAGCGGACGATATCGAAGGCTGCGCGGCAATCTCATATTAGCGTATCAGACATTGAGTGACCCCAACCACGTATGCCGCTATTTGCTGAAATTTAGTCACAACACGCAGCCCAGGGGTAACTGCTTAAAATTGAAACAATAATATAGCCGGCTAGAGTGCCAACGTAATTACTTTTCCCTTCGGGTTTGTCAACCCTAGAACGCACTCCCAGACGCAGTTGTATCCTCTCCTACCTTGGACTTTACAAAAGACGACTAGATGTTGCTCCTTGATCCCAGCATTTTATTACCTGAACTCCTCTATTTTGGATTACGCCAAGCATGCTTTTCAATAGGATTTATGTATCATATGGACGCAAGTGGGCGATCAAATTTTACTTTTCTCAAGCCTAATATCAACGATCCCTGCACCCCAGTGTATATCTGAAGGTTTACGCTCCATCCTTTTTTAATTTTGATGCTATTTATCAAAGTATTCATCTCGGCAGACATTCGGTAGATGACCCAGATATATTTTGATTTCGTCGTATTCACCCCAACTAACCTACGGGACGTGTTAAGTACTTGCTTTTATCTCGTGATAAATCATTGTTCATTGTTCATCGTTAATTGTAAAAAAAGTTTAAGAACTGCACTGGAAAACCAGAAAAGATAGGTGTTCCATGCGATTCCGCTATACCTAAGGATCATAACATCCTAGTTGGATGATGCCGTACACCATACAAAAAGCTGCGATAGTTTTCTTAGCCATAAATTCATATTGTTCAAGCAAAAGGCATAGTATTAGCTGTATACATATCTTGTGCAAAATACGGACGCTGCTTTGGCAATGATGAGAAATATACCTACTAATATTATTATCATTATGTTGGGTATGGTTATACACGAGAATGAAAAGGATGAAGAGAACTTACCCTGAGACAGGTGTTGTGCTGTTAAACAGGTCTTCTGGGGTAGATGGCGGGCCAGATTTGATGCTGTTGCGAATGCCTTGGAGGTGGAATGCAGTTTTCGCGCTGCAGCCAATATCAGCTGAGACGCAGAGCAAGGCTTTGAGCCGTCTATGGTTATCGTTTGCTGTGTCAGCCAGTCGTTAAACCGTGGGTTGTTGTTCGAACAGCGGTGGTGCTTCAACTGTAGCACACGGGAAATTAACAAAGAGTAGAATGTAAACAATCGAGCTTGTGGGATTATAGTTGTACATACAGCGGTCCTGTCCACTGGAAAACACATGAACGACTGCCTAGTGGATATCTCACTACCGGTCATTGTACTGAATGTTGGAATATTTTTTGTCGGTTTCGTTTAGAACCCTGGTCTAGGAGAAGCAATTCATACAGCAGACAGTAACATTGACAATGTATTTGTGTTTTCGTAGTGCCTTGTTGTTTGCCTTCACCTGTATCTCACAGCTCAAATAGTTTGTCGGGTGTGAAGGTAAACAAGATCGGGCGTCTAAATAAATACGGTTTTGCTCACAGGAGGAAGGCAAATTATTGGCAGTAAACTTAGATCATGGTCTCCTGGACACTTATTTTCACCCTGATGTTTGAACTGACCTCCCTGAGAGGGAAGAAATACTACAGTGATTGCTGTGAGTCGACTAAACTTCGAATTTCTATGTTTAGCTTCGGTTTTTCTATTTTTAGTTCGAATGCTGGGATTTTTTGCATGCATCCGCACGTTGTATTGAATCCAAGCCATCGTACTTCGCCTTTCGATCTAAACATGTTCACTTGTAAAGCTTGATATCGAGCTAATTCACAGGCAACAGCGTCTCCTGTTACTCCGGCCAGAGTAATCTGAAGTTTCAACTAACCACAGGCACAACCGCGTCCATCTTTCGGTATTCACGGTGCTCCGTGATGCATGCATGCTTTTCCACCGATTGAAGTTGTGGTTTCCCATGAGCTTCTCCTGCTGAAGTGCAACAAGTCACCTGGCGAAGATGAACTTCCTTCTGCTCTCTTCACATACGGTGGTCCTGTTCTCACTTGTGAACTGATATCTCGTTCTATTAGATTTGCACTACCGAAACCATCGCATTCGACTTGAAATTAGCGGACGTCGTACTTGTTAACTAAATGGAGATCTGACAGTTTGTTTATCGTGGGATTAGTCTCATCTGTGTCGCATCCCAAATGCTAGCTGCCCTACTCTTGCGAATGTTCGCTTGCCTACGAGAAAACCACCTGTGTGAGATTCAAGCTGGATTTCGCTTGGGTCGCTGTTGCATCGATCATGTCTTTATGATCCGCCGAATACTTACAAACCACCACGTATTCAACCGACCAGGCACGGTCATACACTTGGACACTAACCCCCGTTTGGCTCTGTTGACAGAGGGACACTTATGGCGTGCTTACTGAACAGGGAGGTAATTGAGATATACATCTGCATTCGCTTTGCCATTTACCGTCAAACTTCGCGCCGGGTGCTTGATTGCGGAGACTTTGCGCCCCCTTTCAGTGCCACTTGCAGTGTTAGACAGGGTTACAAGTACACTCCATTCTTTTTCGTCTGCGCCATGGACGAGATCCTGGTTACTGCCTTAAACGTCGCTGAGTCCTTCGACGAGGAACTGCTCCCGGCCGACCGGCATCTGGACTTGGGGCATGCGGGTGACATCGCTGTGTCTTCTGAGTCCTCTCAGACCACCCCGTATGTACTGCTTAGGTTAGAGATGTCCGCCTTTTTAGTTGGGTTTATCCTTTGGGTTCAGTTACAGGACTAGCCGATTGCATCTCATTCGCTTGCCCTTTCGAGACAACCCCTGAAAGTGTTCGAAACCTAGTTTATCTTGGGAGCAATCTGAGGGTTAGCTGTTTGACGGAGGAGAACTCCTTGTGTGTCACCAATGCTACAGTATATTTGATAATCTCCGTTACCGGTGGCTTCGTCGTGATCTCAGTCTCGCTTTTGAGCGACAAGTCTACAATGCAGCGGTGCCAGCGATGCTGCGACACGACTGCAAAAGCCCGTTCGCAAATATGATGTCAGGCAGCTATCTATTTTTCGATCGCCTCGGCCTGAGAAATATTGCTAGTTTTCCATGATGGCATCACATCCGCAATGAGGAGGTCTGTCAGCGAGTAAACAAACTTGAAAAATTCCACGGATCGATGAACATCATCATTTCACTGCGGACGCTTCGCTGGCTTAGGCATGTGCTTCTTACGCCTACCCAATGGCTGCCACGGCATAATCTATTTGCGAGAGCAAGTGAGGGTTGGAAGCCACAACCAGACGGCCAGTGTAAAGCGTGCACGCAATACAATAAGGCGAAAGAATTGAAGCTGGCCGTTTCCGACTCTAGGGTTGGGGAACAAAGGATGGCGAACACATCGGGAGCGAAAGGCTACAACATATGGCCAAGGACATTACGCACTGGCGCAATCGAGGTGAGACTCCTATGCTTTAACCGTCGTATTTTTTAGCCAATCTATTGCTTACTTCTCTTATCTGCTTTGATACTCAACTAATTATATTGTAAATACTAAGTTTTTAATACATACATTTAATATTGTAAAGCAAAGTAAGAAGCAAGGTGACGTGTCCTTTAAATTGCTGAATGGTGTCTCTAAAAGTAACCACCTCAATATACTAATCACCTCACGAATTTGCCAAATTTGGTTCATTTCCTTGAGTGGCCAAATTTCCTAGTTTTTTCCGGTACGTGCTCTGAACTTTGCACGTGTCTAGCTACAGTTTCCACCTTTTCTCTAACGACCTTGCTTATTTTTTAATTATACATACCTAACAGCTCCGGATAAAACTCTCGTCAATTTCGCCATTTCGGGATGTGAAGAAGATGAGTGTGATCTCAAAGGGGGCGAACTCATTACAATATTGATTGATTTCAAACCACGTGAGAATATGACAACCGGTTAATTCTGCATGCCTTATGGGAGGGATCTTCTGAACTCTCAGTGTTTGGGATGAAAACTGGCTGTGTTTTTAGACTGTTTGCTGTGACTGTGCATCGGATTCAGGTTAAGAAAACCAGGTGCTGCTTGCTCCAAACTTTGTAGCTTGTCCCCGCATTCTGCTTCCAGTTGTTCAGCTTGATGTGCGCTGATTGTTTACGTTGATTTAACACGCTTGACGCTTTTCCGTTACTACGCTTCATGGAATTCTTGGCTTAAGCAATCCTATTTGTTTCTATTCAGAAATAACAGTAAATGCAGGAAAGGCTAAAATGTGCGTGTATAAATCGAAGCCAGTAATGTGCCACCCAGGAACCGCCAGGATACCAGATATATGCGAGAAGATGACACCCGAATGTCCGATGGAACCTGGTCGTGTTTACACTTATGAACACGTCATGCGCACACCAAATATTTCGGTGAGCAATCATTCTTTCAAATTACCTGCGTTCACTTCTGTGACATGTGTCATACGCGTTGGAGCCAGTGTAACATCCTACACTTGTTAATTCGCACTTAATTGAAACTCTCTCGTTCTTACTGTTATCAGCTGAGAGCTCCAGCAACGTACAAACTTTACGATGAAAAATGCAACATGATCGCTTGCGTGGAATTCATTGGTGAATTAAGTTCGCCCAATAAGGACCTAACAAAAGTGCCTCTGGTGGATAACTCGCAGCCCTGCAAAGACTGAAACGAAGTCTATTAGCTGTCAAATGTTTTTAACTTAAATAACTCACCTTTACATGCGTTAACTCCACATTTTGTGTGTGTATTTATGAACTCGAAATACACCGATAATAATACAGAACAGAGTAGGATCAATATCTATGCTTTTGCTATTCGAAGCTGGATGGGTCCTACATGCACACACATCTGATTCTCTACTGTATAAAAGGGAAAACAAGGTTAATGTCATCTAGCTGCCACGTGCAAGTAGGTACGTCTCGGATAATGAGCCTCAGCGGCAGCATCAACAGATATGAAACAATTTTTTACAAGGAATTATTAGGGTAAGTAGAATTTTATAGATAGAAAATCATTACATCTAAACTTCATCAGACAGCCATTATACACGCCCAGAAAAGTACTCTACGGTGGGTTCATCCGTTCGTGAATCCTCTGCAGTGCACATTGCATCGGAACGCTTGTGGCTCCAACCCACGGTGTCCACGTTGAAGCAAACTGCGGCAGAACTCGACAACCGTTAGCCAATCCTAAGCTATGCTTTACAGCAGATTAGCCAAACAAAGCATCTAGTCATCAATCTAAAGCAGTGTACCCCAACAACGAGAACTCCCGTGAAAGAACGGAGCCAACGGCTGGAAACATCGGTGAACGCAGTCTTGGATTTCTCCGGCAGATGTGTCAATTGCAAGGGCCACACCAACAATGAACATTTAACTGTGTATTTAGAAGGCTTACGAAACAATGCTTTACATGTCCCGTTCGGTGGTTTTGTGGGGTTATCGAAAAATAAAAACCAGTGGGTTATATACCTTCAAACGCGTAACAAATCGTTTGTTTCGCTGTATTCCCTCGATCCCTGTGGTTGCACAGCACAAACATATAACAGCAAATAAATCCAAAGTATATTCCAGGAGTGAGATGGAGATGTAGTATTAGAAAACAAAGTGTAGGTGAGTAAGTGAGTTATCCAAACGTCCTGTAAGTATGGATAGTGATGGTGCAGAAATGGCCGATTCTAGAAGCACATTCAACGGGTGACACACGCAGACGGAAAAGAAGTCCCGGCGGCAATCCTGTCATTTTTAGTGAGTGGCCTCTCAAGTTGGTATTAACGCTGATTTGAAGTAAGGAGCGGCACACATGATGTGGGTCGTGCAGAATTAAGCCCACCACTAGCAATTCACCTCGTAAGCGGCGGTAACTTCCGCTGAAAACCCCCTTTCGTTCCAGCCTCTCTTCGTATGGAAGATGGTGCATTCCCATACCCTACTTTGATACTCGAAGTTGGGACTGATCCATGCACTAAGGTCATCTTTCAGCCACGTGTGTCATGCTTGAATGGTATATTCGAAATGAGGGCAAACATACGCACTAAGCAGCTGCCGGAAAGTAGAGCGATCTATTTGTCCGAACGCCCGCCGTAACAGACCCACTTGTTGGTTACTAGTTTTGGAGGCTATCCCAGATTGCCTGGAACAACGCAGATCATCCTGGACTAGTATGCCCAAAACACTTTCAGTGGAAGCACATGCGTTCCGAGCCTGTACCAGTGGTTGCCCTGGTGTTGTATGGATAGCATTTTGCATTTACTAACAATGAATTGCAGTGAATTTTGGATGGACCACTTATGTACCGTGCCTACATCCAACCGAAGCAGGTGCAGGTCAGTATTCTCCCTGAATCTTGCACAAAATCTTGTGGTTATCGACAATTAGCAGAAAGTTAGATGCAAGTACTTGTGTGTCATCATTGCTAAATACTATCAACGAGCTTTGAGGCACACCACATTCCACTTCTTTTGGCTCAGAGCAGGAGCTCCGAACTCTGAGCATCGATTGCTGCTGAAGAAGATTGTTGGCGATCCAGCTTATGGGAAGTTATATGCACGACCACTGAAAGCATGTTAAAATGAGTATCTATTTTCGCAGCATGCAAAGCTAAAGTACAGTAAGCGGTCACGACTGTAACTACTTCATAGTGCGTCAGACGTGACACGGCTACGAATGCACATCCGAAAAGGCCGCCTACCGCACCACCAGGAAAAAAGACACGGCCTAATCCCAAGTTGTAAGTACTAGCCACCGTCAAGGCACCACCAAGCGGCACCGAAAACTAAATCTGAGAATGTCCGCGAACTGGTAGCATACGGCTGCAGAAATTCCAAATGAAAATATGCACAAAAACATCCGTATCGTACCCCTTGCATGCCTGAGCATGTGGCGCATGTAAATAAGATCCGTCCCTTGGTGCGCTCCGTTGCTCGATCACTGCCCGGAGCATTTGGCTCAATAGCCTGACACACAAGACAGTAGGGAGCAGATGCAGCTCGGGAATGTGATTGAATAGACAGATTGGGATCTGCTTGACGACAGTTACATGCAGCCTTTGAGGTACTGGAACGATTCATTTATGTTTTGCGACCGTAGTAGGATACGAACCTGCAACCACGACCAGACGCCAGTGGGTTTTGGCGTGTTTGCACCATTTTGACCAGGGGCTACCTGGCTAGAGGCGGTTAGCAGCAAACCACTGAACAACTTGAAGCGCCATCCCACTATCAGAAAAAATGCGTGGCGCTCGTGCTCTACGCCAATCGAGCTGTGAGCTTATAACCCGTAGACCTGTGGTCTCCCATGGCTAGGTTTTACGGGAAGTGGGCCATCGACCACTTCCTAACCTCCGAAGAGGATGGACTAGGATACTGGCAGGGCGCCCACACCTGACAGCAGAACGACTGGGGTCCTCAGCCAAAGCCTTCGATTAAATGTACACCCGAAAGGCACATGGCCAGTTCACTAACTCATGCGGATTGGTGTCCTAGATTTTAGGTGGGAGAAGGGCGTAACCCAACTCCCACTCAGCGGTCGCCACGAGGAGGCGTCCAGGACATGAGCCAGTGGCACAGCTTTAGCAGCAGTGGGTAGACCATCTGTCAGGATCTAGCCACTACCTGCCTCGGCGCATCATAGGCTCTCCCGCCCATTGTGATATATGGTAGGCGGCATTCGGTTTCGGATTTTCCTGTCACTGTGGCCAGCCACAGGACGCCTGCGTCTACAGAGGGACCATGAGTGGCTTGCGGTGCACCACCCACAGCTCCATCCACACACCCCATATCCAGTGTAAACCCGAAGGAATAAGACTGGGAGGCATGCGGATGGGAGCCACGTTACATCAACGCAGCCGGCCCACACTCCTTCACAGGCAAACATAAGCATGCCGTATTTGGGGAATCAAGCGCACACAAGGCGGTGGCTGGACCGTAGTCCGCTCCACAATGAGTGCATGGAACCGCTCTTCGAGCCTAACACGGCCACAAGAACCGTGCACCCCGTCCCCACCAGCAACGACCAACTGTCTCCTGGAGCCAGTATGAACGAGGTAGTGGGTAATAGACAGGTAGGCAACTTGTCAACATGCACATCAAGCGCAGCCACACCGGGGATATCAAGCAACAGCCAATCACTTGAGAGAAAGATAACAAAGAAAAGAAATCGAGTCATGCATTAGGAAACGTGACAAAAAGCCTAAATGAACGAGCATATGAAATAAGTTGTCAACAAAGGATCCGAGATAAGTTCAGGTCAGAAAGTATATTTTACCTAAATGACACAAACACGAAAGTGTTATCGAAATTAACTACAATTGGCTGAAGCGAGTTGTGCTGGTTTATAGAAGAGCGTACAGGTGGACATTTATTTGAGAAAGGAAAGCATTAGGACAAAATTGAAAACCCACCACCTGCAATAAATAGACTTAGCATGCAAGCACGCGGTTGGTAAATCGAATGCAGCGTACCTTCAAACGCTGCGCCGGTTCTGCCTACGTTCTCTGCAGGACCCGTCGTCGCTTCGGAAGTGGTCCCGAGTGGCCTCGCTCATGGCTCACTAAGCCTGCCTGACTCCATTGTGATATAAGCGTCTCTATAATAGGCAACATAGGCCACACTCGTTGCAATTAAGCCGTAAGCTCTAGCACATTCGGCGTGAGTTTCTGTTCAAACCAGATTTCCCTCTACTTTTGCTGTCATCTGTGACCATAGACAGCATTACAAGGAACAATGATGAACAATGATTTATCACGGGTAAAAAAGCATGTGCTTGACAAGTCCCGTAGGATGGTTTGAGTAAAAAACAAAATTCAAACGATCATCGGACAAGTAACTCATTATTTTATGCCTCTACCAATTTAAACGCAGCACTGCATAACGATAGTTTGAAGTAGGAATGGGATGGGCACACAAGAAATAGTATAAAGTGCCGTTATAGTTCAGTAAATTCGTGAGAAATAAAAAAGGAAACGACAACGCTCACACATTTGTTTCTTCATTTGACAGATGTGGTATGTTAATCCAGTTTATATACATCCAGGCTACTCAAGTGGACGCTTCTGAATGTATTCTCAACGTCATGTTGCGGAAAGGGCCGTTAAGCACATGCTTAAGTTTGTGTTATTACGTCCTGCAAGTTGAACGGACTATATCAAGTAAAGCAAGTTGGAAAGCGTTCCATCGAGACGCTTTGTATAACGTTAATATAGTGGCAAGGATAACGTGATTCGGGAGGGCATTCCAGGCACGGGACACACGGAAGAAGAAAACCTTACGTCGACAATCAAGCCTACTATAGTACGTAGCTAGTTTGAGCTAATGGCCTCGCACGTTGGCATTTTGGCTCGACTGCAACAGATTGCGACATGGGTGAGTCGGGTTCTTCAGTAGTAAGTAAATCATGATTAGGTCTCCTCGCTGAGATCGATATTCACCAACGTACAATCTCATGGACTGCAGTCTGCATTAGTAGGAGAGATGAAACAATCCTCTAACGCGTTTGTTCGCTCTAAATTGTGCAGCTTTAAGTGCATCGGCGTCGCGCTTACGCCAGGGACGCCAGGCC